TTCGAGTCGTCCCTTTAAACCAAATCGAGAGCGTTCCTTAGCGAATCGGTACGTAACTTCTGGAGATCCTCCACGGCCGCTTCTCCAGGGCATTGGGCGACACCTGGGCACCACATCCTTAACTCGGGCAGGAGGTTCCTCTCCTGCCCTTAACCGTATCAGAACTATCTCCGCCCGCTCTACAGCCCTTGCCCATCTCCAGCGGGGCGCCGGTATCTCACCCAGGCTTCTGCCGATCCGTGGAGACGTCTCCGTCGGGTACTCTCCTCTGCCGGGCAACTCAGTACGTTGAGACTATCTCCCCACGGCAGATTCGAGCACCTCGACCTCAACTAAACAATGACGAAATCATACGAGAGCCTTGACATAACTATACGAATCAACCCTAGAGCGTAGCTTCTGAGCAGGGCGGCGACCCGAAGGGAACCAGAAATCGAGAACGTTATCTGTATCGGTAACCGGAGCCGCCTTGGGACTGTGATTCGAAAAATCATGTCACAATATATATATATATATCTGTGTATATTGCTTCTTTTATGTTATAATTCTCGATCCTTTCTCATACTGAACGTCGCGATGCGACGCCGAAGAGACTGTGTTTTTTTTTCCAGCAACGTACCAACTTCAAAGGCAAAGTCGAGCTGTGTTCTTCCAAATAAACTTGACTAACAGCGGTACGAAGAAAGGGAAAGGACTTTCTCCAGTAACCCTGCCGTATCTCCAGAGTGCATTACCCCTAGAATTGACTCGACCCTCGACTCCGTTCTCAGCGGTAAGAAGATCGATCGCATGTGTATTCGCCAGTAGGTATACCAAGCTACCAGCATGACAACCATATAGCAGCAACAGTTTTCCCTCTGAGGTTCTCCACCTTCGCTTTCAAGACTTTATTCTTATTTTTTCCTGACCCCCCTCCCCTCCCCCTTCCACCCTTCGAACCTGTTTTCGTCCAACTTTTCTCCTCGATCACGCCTGTGGTTTCCTGCTGTCCGGAACTGGTACCAAACATCGCCATCCAATTCCAGACTGAGTGCAATCCTTGAACTAATCCTGAAATGTTACCTAATCAATATCTTCGATTAGATCGATCAAAGACCTTATCGATACTGCCGCCAGACTCCTATGGGTCCTTCCTACAGTGTCGATTTCCCAAATTGAATAAACTAGGAAATTGGAAGCCCGTGTCCTAGATATGCAGAGTGTCTAGGGTATCGCATTACGTTCACCTGGAGCCACCGATCATTTGGAGATTGGAGGACGTCCTCATCTTTCTAAGGATTCAGGATTATTTTTAAGGGTATTCTCAGCCTGGAATAATTCTGATACGAAACACTAGAAATCACCGTCTGATAAACATATATACACATATACACATTTCATATCCATTGAAAAGCTATATATTCGGAAAACTACGTGAGAGCTACCTATATATATTTTTTTTAAGTCAGGTAATCCATTTTCTATGGATTTATAGATTTTTTAACAGGTGGGTATGCGAGTGTGTGTTTTATGGAGTGTAAAGGATACGGGGGTATACCTATATCTTAAACGCAATTAGATTCGATTTTTGGTAAAAGGGTCAATGGCGTCCCTTATGGCTGTCAAACATTACGTATATTGTGAAGGTGCGAACACTTTATTTTGGAAGGGCGAACCCTTGCTTGGGCAAAGATTAAATGTACGAGAGGGTTAGTGGTACCTAACCTGTGGGCTTTGACAGTGAAAGGGTGCAGGTAATAGGTCGGGCAATGTATTAATTCCTATAGGGGTGAACCAGGTAGCAACAGTTGAGTTTAGTAAGAATGAAATAAAAAATGGCACCTTACACGCGACCTCGTATTATACACAGTGATATAGAATAGACACATAATACACGGGGTATGACTAATAGAATGGACGTGGTACAATTTTGTAATGATATAAATAAATAATTGATTTTTTTTCTTATCCACCCCTAAACCTAATTTAATTTTAACGGCTCCAGGGATACATTTTTTTAATCGCTACCTGTTGATAATATTACTTTTAATTGCCGTGTTGAATTTTACTGATGAGTGGGTGGTCAAAGGGCAAAGGACAGATACAGAGAGGGACTAAAAAGGAGGGTAGGAATAAGGTATACTTTATTTTTTTTTTAATCCAAACGGTAGAAAATAAACGGATTTGCTTTCCGTTGATTTTATTATTTGGGAAGAAAATGAAAAAAAAAAACTAAGAAAAAGCTCGAGCACACGGTAAGGCGCTCAGGGGGTCCTTAATTCGATGCAATATTAAAGCACTTTTATTCCTTGAAGTAAAAAAAAAAAAGTAATTAAAATTCTTCATTAAGATAACGTTGTACAAATGAAAATTAAATTGGAACCTTACCCTCTTGCTTCTCAGATGGATGTACACGTTTTTTTTGTCACCCTATACGCTCTTGCCTTGGTAACGAGTGATGGTAACAAAAGGAAAAGGTAGGTTAGGTATACCTATCTAAGGGATGGTTTGGTGCCCTAAGTCATCAAAGTCCTTGCAAGCTGATTCCCCCGGACGCCTCCTTGCCCTGCGATCAGAGTGAAACGTTTTATCAGCGTGACACTCGGGACGAGTTTAATAGAAATTTAATGAAAAAACAACAGAGATAATTATAGGCGCGCTGATGGAGGTAAACAGACGTTCCTGAAACGATCCACACCGATTCGCTTATCTTATTCAGCTACCTATCTGCTCACTCGTGCCCGGTTTTCATTCGATTTGCTTGGTGTACTTTGTGTCTTGGGTGAATAAAAAGATGAGTGAAAAATTAAAAAGCACTTTGGTTTCGACGTTAATCCGCAGTCTCGTGCGATAAAAAATAATCACTCTGACTATCTGAAACAGGGATTCGAGAAATGGTCCATTTTGTGTTGAACATAATTTCGAAATTTTTTTCGATTTCAATCATGGTATCGTTAGCACGGGTATATTATAATCACGGGTGTTGGGTAGTCTCAAAATATTTGAAGGATTTTGAAAACTGTCAGGATTCATAGAAAAGTCGGTACTTTGGATTGTTATTGGTATAGGCAACATGGGACAGCGTATATAGAAAGAGATGCATCTGTCTAAATCTTTTTTGAAAATCTTCCCCCTTTTTATCACAAAGGATTGCCTAATCGGTCATAGCTTAACTGTGTCCGACTGGTCAGTCCGTAACGTATATTTCTTTTCTGTATTTTATTTTCGAAATTTTTTGCCCTGCCCCTCCACCCCAACCTCTGTGCTATACGTATTCACCATTTTTCTTGGACACCCCAGAGGACGAATTCACGTTAGCTGGCTAGCAGTTTCGTTATTGTCCAAGTATTGTGAGTTTCGGGAGCGTGCAGCGTGTAGGTCAAGGGTTTAACAGCTGCAAGCTGAACCTAGTAAAATAAGGCACTGGACAGATTCGACCGGTCAAGGTCTGGAGGGTGTGGTAAATCGAGATGGCGTCGATTTTACTTCTCCCATTTGGGTGCGTACATTCTATGGAAATAATAGCATGGGGCGAGTTCATAGGGGTAGCACATAGACATTTTCTGCGTAATGGCCGTGAACGCCATTGCTTAATATTTACAACACGAGTATATGGTGCAAAAGACGTTTATGTTAAATAAAAAAAAATAAATATGGACATTGCTTCCGGTAAAAAAATAATTTCCAAAATGAAAATTAATCGAAGAAAAATATTTTTGAAAATTCAAATTCAAACTTACGATACTTCGATACAATTAAATTTAACGAATGTCCACGCGATGTTATCCCCTTAATTTTCGAAAAATTTATTTTGACTTTGCCCCAAGGGAGATTTTCCAAAAAATAACAGCGCCTCGTAATTAGTAATAACGATTCCCGACTTCCCGTGAGTAATTATGTATTTCGAAAAGCGTCCCGACGCTTCCTCCGTCCTTTCTCCCTTTTATTCTCGCTGACCTTTCGAACTTTGGCATTCAAAAAAAAGCCTCCTCCTCATTCTCAAAAGAGAATTCGTGGCGACAAAGTATCGCGATGAAATACTGAGGACGGCTGCTTACATCCGACAGTATTGTTTCCCTCGGCACCCACGTGGCATCAATCCAGCAGCGACTTTACCAACCCTCCATCCTTGAAAAAAAATGCAGCCATCCACGCAAAGCTGCTACCCCCGGTTTCGGGCAGTTTACATATTTTTAACCACACTTTTTTTTTCATCCCCCATCACCATATTTGCTTAGCTTGACTCTCTCTTTTCCCTAGCTATTCTCCTCCATCTTCTTTTTACTCACTATGAGAAGTAGGGTATTTTTGGTAACAAAGGCCCAACGTACGTTACGGTAGACGCGTGCGCGACACGCGACATTTTGGATGCGTCGCTACGATGGAAAGAAAATGAAGGAAAATAACGTCAAAGAAAAAAGCGAAAAAAAAATTTTTAATCATGAAAATTTTCGAAATTTTTCACCATTTTTTTCACGCTAGTGTTAATCCATTGATCGGTACTTCTTATGTAATGTAAGTGAATCTTTCATAGTATATCGTCTATCCGTGTAGAAGATATATGGGGTGTGACAAAAGTAAAATTTCCTCTTACATGATTTTGCTTAAATGACCGTGGGAGTGAACTTATGCATGATAATTGTACCAGTTCACGAGTGAAATATTTCGTTGACTCCACTTCCGGAAGTTCGTGATACGATAACAATTCTCACGTAAATTCAGAACTCGATCACGTGCGTCATACCGATTCGTACAAGTACCAATTCTCACGCTATACTTAATGTCCGTACTGTATATCAGTGACATTAGGATAGTAAACGAGTAGATATATGCGACCCCCATAGCAGAGAATTATAGTATCGAATAAAGCACATAAATCCTAATTAAAAAAATATACTATGGTTTTATGAAATTGTCTTTTATTTTGAGGCTGGTCAACAAAAATTTTTCAAAATATTTTCTACTCGTTACATCCAGCTTGATTACGGCATTAACGTTCTCTTTGTATCCTTGCAGTTCCGATACGTGGGACTCTTCTGTACGACGTGTCACAGCGACAGTGGGAAGACGCATGTTGACCTTAAGGGATGAAAGCACTACTCCCACATTGACCGTTTCATCCCTCCTGCATGCCAGGACCACCGGACATCCGCCCACGACACATCGACAAATTTCCAGCAGAAGCAGCAAGTTCCCATTCCAACTGGATGAGGAATCAAATTACATGGGGCTTATGGTGCTGGATGCCAGTATTTGGTAAGGATAATGGCCGGTGGTCCTGCTGGTCCTTCGGAAACTCTTGCGTATCCTGCACGTAATACGGATCCATTAAAATCAAATAGGATCCTTAGATAAATATAGGTAAGTCAAAAATAATTATTTTTTCTAAAAAAATTGTCACGCACAAAATTCTCCAATGATTTGTCGTCTTGATGTATCAGCGTACATAACGATCTCTTTATGTTGCAGACTACGTTTACTAAGACCCGGTAATAATTTAGTCCAGATATTCTTGGAATGCGTCCCAGGACCAACATGTAGCGCATAAACGATTATACGGAGACGTGGAACAGTTTCTCGGTCCATATACCCCATAAGCTCATATATGGGTATGAGACCACAGGATGTCCAGGAAGTCCAAGATCCTGGCTGGGTGATTGACGACCGAAGGGTTGCTTGCGGTGGGACACTTGTGTGAAGCACAGGGAAGCGACATGCGATCCTTTCCCAGCTTCCAACCACCTGCACTTACCAAAAATAGAGGCAAAAAAAACGAGATCAGTACCACCATACGTGGTGGTCAAGAAAATAAAAATAGTCTGTACCAATGTGCAATTATTCAGCATGCAGCCCGAAGAAGGATTATCTGGAGAGCAGAAAACAAGTAGAAAATTAAGATAAAAAATCTAAAGGCTTTCTCAAAGAAAGATCATAAATAATAAATCTTTCTTGCAGGCGAAGTAAAATCCTATTTTACACTCCAATATACCAACGACAATGTCTACCCGGCCGAGAAAAATTTCGCGAATGGATGACGTCGTCGAAGAAAGAAAAGCGAAAGAAAAAGAGAAGGAGAAAAAAGTAGTGTGGGTAAACATAAAAGCAAAATGGATGTCCTTGCGTCGTTAGCCTGGTATTACCTTGACAGTAAGAGGCATTAGCGTGCAATCCCTTCGTCCACTCTCTCTTGCTCTGTGCTACTGGAGCATGGGGTCCCATAGTAATGGAGTAGCAGGTTGTCGCGCGAACCATGAAACGAGTAAGTAAGAATAAAGTAATGGTAAGGGAATACCTAAAAGTTTATGGTGTCAGCAAGCAAACCTTTCGCCGCAAAAGATGCCTGTTTGTGAAAACACGGTATTCCCTGACGGCGGGATACTTCAGGAAATGGTCATCCATTGTTCTTCCATTATTGGCGACCATCGAGGCGTATCGATCCTTACACCTAATCCTTTAATCTTTGGGAAATGGAGCTGTTTTTCGAAAACAGATCGTACTTCGTTATTGTCCATTCTCGGTTGTCCCAGGTGGTAAGGATACCAGAAACACAGTGAGTATCCTTATGGAATTCGGAAAGATTATAGAGGAAGTTTCAAAGAGTGTAGTCCTGAGATCCATAACCTTTTGCAGGGTAAACGAGACCAGGATTAACCTGGACCGAGGAGAGATGGCGCTGTCAGCCCTGATGCCAGTGGTGGTACTTTTGAGATTCAGCAACGCAGTGCCAATCTGTCTATTCCTGAAGGGGATGCACTACGTGAGTCACCCTTATGGTTTTACACACACGTTTCATCTATTCTGCACCCACCGATTCCACCCCCTCAGGACTTCCCATCCGCAGGAACATCGCTGTTGCCACACGAAGAGGCACCCAGGGTGCGGCTACCGGTATAATATGTTCATTGATAATTGCTAGGGTCACGCAATCCAATGTCTGGCTATGTTTCTGTGTTTGTGTACATTAAGCATTGTGCTGCTTATGTGCCTCCCATACGTGCCACTGAGTATCCTTACGTATGTGTTTCAGCGCAGAGAGGGGCGAAGAGGGGTGGTTGCTGACAAGCCGTAAAACGCTGGAATTACTATTTCCGCTTAGGAGTGGATGTCCTGGGCCTTTAATAAATTCCTCCCTCTTTTGGTGTCCTTGTGACAATTGAAAAGTCCTGTATATCAACCAGGTACGATATACTTAGCTTTAAATATATTTAATTGCCAGTGACTAAGAGTCGTGAAATTATTTTTATAGATGATCATTAAAGCTGACGTAGACTGGCTGAAGAGAATCTTTTATGAATGAAGATCGGGTTGCCGGATTTTGTGATTCTCAAATTTTTGGAGTATCCAAACCTTCCCTTATTAAGTGGTCCAGGGATGCTGGACGCACAGAGTGTGTTACAATGAAGAAAAGAAGAAGGTAGAGATGACGAGATAAGAGAACGTATTGTAGGCGGAAGGAGTTTCTTGGTTCGCTAAAAGGAGCAATCGCCATTGTTGCGTCACGAGTCTCGAGTTTCTGCAAATCTTCAGGAGAATTGTCGAATTGTCGATCCTCTCCGTTGCTATGATTGACGCTGATTCGTAAAGTAAGACGAGAAGGGTCTTGTTCAGGTACTTTTGAACGCTTGAAAATCAGGCTCGGTTTTACTTCACCTACAAATTCGTTTTCTCGCATATCGGCTTCCAACGATTCCGGGAAACGTGGAAACGATTATTCTCAGATCATCCAAAGACGTTAGTGTGCTGTGCATATGTATGTGGCCTTCCGTGTATAGAAAGCAAAAAAAGAAAGAGAAACAAAATCAATCCGACGACCGAATCTTGAATGCGAAATCATGGGTTCCCCGCGAGAAAATGGAAATTTCTCGCGATGATTGACGTAACGAAACGACGAGAAATGTGGAGAAAAAGGGAAAGGAGACTAAAAAAATATTTCACTACTACACACGGACTTCCTGCTCTCGTTAAGCTAACCCTACAATTCACTCGTAACTCGATATTGCAAAGCATGGGTGTAACGTTACCAGGCGAACCACAAAGAAAACCAAAATGCAAAAACCAATTTGAATCGAACCGGTACTCGGTTTTTTTAATCTCCTTCTTTCCCGTTTTACCCAGAAAGCATATACTGGGACATGAGGAAAAAAACAGGAGAGAAAGGTGAACACCTCCAACAAGTATTTTCCTTGAAAATTGATTTCATTTGACAGCTTCCGCATTGGTAAAAAAAAATGTCTTTCAGTTCACTCCAACATGAAAGAAATACAAAAATTGTAAACCAGTTGTAAATACAAAGTAATTGCTTGGTAGGATATTATGATGAATAATGTTAAAGAAAGTCAGGTAGAATAATTAAACACGGTCACTATTGGCAAATAGTTAAGTAGTGACAGTCTTTGAATATTACAACAAAAAAAAACTAATGAAAATTCGATATACATATACCACTGGCATTATTGGCGGCTTTTCTTTTGGTTTTCCAGGCCCGACACGGACTCCGCGATTGCTGTTGTTTTCCAGCAAGATTAATGCCCCAGCGTATCCGTAGCCGCAAACCAGCAACACGGTCGGCATCGTTACACAATAGAAGTGGTTTCGCAAATTACCGCGTACCTATATCCACTGACTCATCATGGGGCAGATGGCGCGCGTGCTTCAAAGAAGCGTGCCTGGTGAGATTGGTCGCGTGTGGTCGAGGGTTGCAAAATATTTCATGGAAGTGCGAAAAAGTCTGTCGAAATGTGATTCCGTCATGTATTTAAGTCTACGGTTAAATAGAAAATAATTGACAACGATTTCACAATAAAATAGGTAGTAAAAAAAACAAGAAACCAAATCCAAAGCAAATTATGCGTTACCAACTGACGTAACTACATGGACAGTCAATATATTTCTATGAATATTTATGTGTATATTATATACGAAGAAGCTACTGTTGCTTATCATTTATGGCGAACGGATACGACTGTAGATCTATGGGGAAAATCTTTCAGCACTTTGCGGCTGACAAAGCATCCGCGTGCGGAATGTCAGGATGTAAATTTTACAATCCCAGGTCGTGTAACGGACGACATTTACGACTTACTCCCGGGCGCATAGCAATGACTAGAAAGTTTTTCTTTTTGGTAACGAGTAGCCAGAAAAAGTCGCAGAAGTCGAAAGGAAAATAAAAAGATTATTTAGGGGGTCGTAAAGGGATAGTCTTGAGGAAGCTGCCGTGTTGCCGGTTAGATCGTGGGGAGGAAAAGAGAGGGGAAAAATGAAAAAGGAAAAGAGAAAAGAAATCACGCTCGGCATAACAATGGATTCGAATGGTGAGACGCTTTCGCAGCGATAGAATGACGTGGTAAATCGTTACGGGTGCGACGTCGACATCGACACTAACGACGCTCAACCCCCTCGCACCCCTACCGCCAATTCCAATTGAGATATCCAAGGGTGGCTCGACACCTCCTTCGTCCTTATCAAATGCATCACCAATCTCTGGTTTCTCTCTCTCTCTATCTCTTATATCCACTTGTAGAATCCTGGAACAGAAAATGATCCTCTGGCTCCGGGATCAGAAGCATTTACCCTATTTCAATGTAAAATTCTATTATAATTGATCATTGATGAGTCCCAAAAAGAGGGACGTCATTCACTATGTCAATCAAATTATACAAGAGGAAACGAAATTTGAATTTATGTTCTCATTTAAATGAGATCTGAGGAAGGGTAAGTATTAATGAAATTTATAATAATGAGCTAAAGTAAAAAGAAATTGTTACAGGTTGAAAGAGTGGACTTTGGTATGTTTACCTTTACCGCGTGGTAATATTGGCAGTATTGGATTAGCCGGTATGAATGGAAGATGGCAGCACGGTTGGTTTGCCAGGGAGATTTTTGAAAGAGAGAAAGAGAACGATGGTTCGTTTGGTTTCCTATTCCTTCGTTTTCAACGAGATAAATGACTGTTTATTCGACTGCACTTAAAGGAACAGCCAACAAGCCTTTCTCGTGATCTTTGCTTCTTCGGAGAATAAAACGAGTGTCCAAACATTTCCATTATATCCGAGCGCACGCAGAATGGCCGACTCCGTTGAGCCGCACGTAATTTAAAACCTCGACTATGCGGCTTTAACGCTCGACACTCGACAGTGAATTTCGCTCTTGGCGGAAACAGACTTCGTCCTACTCTGTGTGGCTGCGCCAAATGAAATTACAGTAATCCATCCCCGGTGACATCAACGGGATTTCAGGACGGATATTTGCGAGCGTGTTTTATTTAAACGCGGCTTACATGCCGGATTGCTTTTTGCAAATGGCGGACGACGACTTGGGATTTCGGTGGGTTTATCGAAAGGGCCGAAATTTTCATGCGAGCTTGAGAAGTTGGATGTAGCCAATGTAGCCTTTAAAATTCTTGCAATGGTCCTGCGTGGATAAATAACATTATTTTTCTCCGAGCAGTTATGAAGAACTGCAGGGTTTTCTTTTTCTCGGGACGTAGAAGCTCATATTGATAAGTTCCGCGTGTGTGTAGAAGCACGCGACAGAGGAGGATCGATTCTTAGAGCTAAAGAAAATATACGGCCTCTTTTCGAACCACAATAAACCAGAAACCGGACCGACGTTGGTTTTCCTAAGCCTTTTCGTATCTTGTCAAAATATTGTAAACACTATGACTTGCCGGCTAAAAAACGGTGCCGCCTCGTAAACTCATGATCTCCGGCGGTTGGATCTCGGCGCGTGACGGATCGGAAGAGTACTCAGGTCTTTTTTTTACGGCAAAGAGGATAATAAAAATATAAAAATATGACTCCGTGGCGTACCGCACTTTTTAGTCGAGGACCAATGAGAATAGGAATAACCGCAGGATATTTTTGTTTCCTTTTCAAAAAAAGAAAAGCCATAATATAACAAAAGCATGAATGCATCGTTATCTTGAAACACGGGTTCAATGTATTTAACAAACATTTATCCTTGATGCCCGTTTTACTGAACCACTCGATGAATCGTTCGATCAACGCCATTTTCTTGACTGGAATAGAAAAAAATTTTCAGACTTCCACTACACTGCACACGAAATGGAAGCTTTTTGGACAAGAATGAAGAATCAATCCGTGTTTTGCAAAACACAACAAAGACCCGGATAATATTGAGTTACGTGAAAGAAGAGAAAAAGAAGAAAAAAAAGCTAATGAACAAGGCCGTTATAAATGTGGAACCCAGCCATATAATTATAGGGTATATCCCGACAGTCTATGGCAAACAAGCGTGGACCCTCCAAGAGGTATGAATGAAATAGCCCGACTATTTTTTACCTTCGACTTGCCGCCATAAGGCATGCGGCCAAATGCGAATGCACTTTTTAAACGTCGAGTTTTCAAAAAATTGCTCCAGGACCTTTTCCCTGTGCCACAACTAGCCCCGTGGATGTTTCCCTAATAATGAAGAAAAAAAAACAGAAACCCTAAGTCAAACTTTCTGATAATTTCTTAATCAATTTCCTTCATTATTAATATATGTATTTACTGTCCACAGAGAAAGAAGAAACAAACTGGACAACAAGCATCTGGAAGATTGACACATTCTCGAAGGGCCATTACGTTAGTTTCCACCAAGACAAGAAGCAGTAAAGAAAAAGGAAAAAGAAGAGAAAAAAAGGCTACCTCGTAACAAAGAACAGACTGAAGTGGAAATTTATGTATGTACCGTCGCGCAACAGCATCTGCAAGGAATTTCCTTCGCTTTGTCCGGTTTCGGTTTCTACGAGATTTGGGTCAACCGGACAGTTACGAGAATCAGTCGTTTCTACAGGGCGGAGGCTTCGGCCGACCGTTTACCTAATGATCTCTGATTTCTTGGTGAGTTAAGGGTGAAGCGTTCAGGGTTGGTCAAACTCTACCCCACAACATAGTCAGAACCATGCAAAAAGTATAATTCCCACGTCGCATTTCTTTTTTTCAATACAAAAATTATTTATCCAAATTTTTCTACATCTCAATACTTTCACTTGTAAAATGTACCCAAGGAACATTAATCTTATTCAACGTAACAACATAATCTATGTATTAAAAGTGGCAGACAGGTATAAAACTAAAATGGAAAAGACAATGTTTTCCAGAACTTCAAGCCTTTCACCAAAGACAGTCTAACTTACCTACTGATTGTTATCTTGACTAAGAAGAAGTAATTACTAAATTCCTTTCTAAGTGGGTCATTTTTTGAATTGGTACCAATCCCTATACCTAATCCTTACAAGGATTCATTATTCTGTTAAAAAAAAAAAAAAAACCCTTAAGGAAGACACAGTACAGAAAATAGCTCCTCGTCAGTCACACCCATCAGAGTTAGTTTTTCTCGAAGTAAAATTTGCGTGAAAACGCATTCAATTTGACACTCGCAAATATTCTTGTGGAACGTGTGGGGAATGTCTGAAGGTAGGATTTATGGTGAGCAAAACCATCCCTGCGTCCAACTGCATGTCGGAACATTTATCTCAAGTGTCCTTTGAGTCAACTTTCTCCTCCACATTGTCACCCGTTCCTACGATACTCCAGCATCCCGTTGTGCATCTGTAAAATGGACGGCAAGTTCATTCATACTTCGCGGCACGAGATCCACTTGAGGTAAGCGTGATAGTCATTTACATTGATCCTTTAAAATTTTTGTTATTGACACCTCCATCCTGACGTTAATCATTTTTCAGTAACCAGCAGAGAGATACAATGAGACATGAAAGTGAGAAAAGAAAGGACACGAGTCTTGCGGAGGAAGTGAGATGATAAATTTCCAAAATTTTGAGTGTTGAAGATTCAGTATAATTTTGTTGAAAAATCTTCTGCACGTTTTTGCAATAAATGTTTTTACTGTGATTTCAAAATCGTCAAAGCATTTCTTGGTTCAGGATCTCTTTACGACATGGAAAAACGACCAAGCTTCAATTTTCTTATGAGTATAATCTATTGGTGTTGGTATTAGTATTGGTAAGTATCAATAAGTTCCGGGACGAATCGGACTGTCCGGCAGGAAGAAACGGTCTTCATCGTCCGGGTCGGCATACATCAAAAAGGGTTGCCAACCCTATTTAGGATCAAGGGTGTCATCTTCACGGAACGAATTGTCTAACGCGTATCCGAGCAATCGTTTAAACGGGTTTTCAAGCAGCGACAAAGAACGAACGTACCTCCATTGGTAGGTATAACTTCTGGACAAACGATATATCATTACAAAACGTATGGCAAGAATGGTATACACGTTATTCAAGACTAGAATTACTTTGTGGCATTTATTATCAAAAATGTGTATATTTCCTTATTCTACCACCTAAAATTCACTCGAGTGCACTTCTGATTTCATACTGTGGAATGTACTAAAGTCAAAATCCATATGACCTAGCCGTACTAATTCTTGAGAAATCTCACTGCACGAACCTAAACCACCGTATGGGTTCTGGCACAGCCACTTTTCCACGTATTGTCCTGTTCCACTGTCATTTTTCTTTTTCCTTTCTTTCCTTTTTTTTGCACCACCCGCTGGACAACCCTGCTGACAATTTATCGCTTCCGCCATGCGCACTGCTCTAAAGAAGGTTACGGTACGAGCACGAAAAAAGGGAATGGGATAAAAGTTAAATCTTCTCAACGGCATACACAGAAATATTCTAATAGTTGTACACTTGCTTTTCATTTAATTAGCAGGAATACGAGAAGCACGTGGCGTCGATGGGGAAGAAGAAGTGGAGAAGTGAAATGAAAACAAGAGGTATAAGTTAAAGAAAGAGAATTCCCTGACGCGGAACGACAGTTTGAGCGATACTTTAAATATCCCTCGCATTCATGGCGGCACTCCGCCCTTTGGAAACTTCGGTCCAGGCACATTATGGTAGTTTACATAATTTTTCTCGCTATCTCTCTCTCTCTCTCTCTCTCTCTCTCTCTTTCTTCCATGTTGCGCTAAAAGGAGGAAGACGGGGTGAGTCCACGTTCAGAGAGGAGATTTTCTCGTACTCTCGCTTTTTCCCTCATCTTTCTCTCTCTCTGTTTCTCATAGGAAAGGAATAAACGGGAGAACGCAAAATCGAGAGAGAGCTGCAAAGGAAGGACCAACAGTGGGATGGGAAGGCAAAGGACCCTCGTCCTGCAAAATATCAAAGGCTCAGTAGGGAAATTGAAAGGCTTTGTATGGAAATAAGAATGTATCGACTGCCCCCGACAGCCACTCACTCGGGACACGATTCTTAAATCTTACATTTAAATATTCTGAATTCAAAAACGTGGAATGACGGTACCAAAGGGGCATGAGAGAGCAAGAGGAATCATTTCGGATACGACTTTGATTATGTTGAAATGGACGATGCCTTTTTTATTTCGCTCATTTTCTGGGGCTGACATGATATTTGTAACTTTTTAAATGTCATCTAGAGCCTTGGATATTCTCTTTCTCTTTTTATTTTGAAGATTTACTTTTGGCGTAGTTATTCTTTCGCTATGGTGCTGCCATCTGTGATTAAGACAGTCAAGTCGGTATGGTATGGTGCTCATTGTTGGTATAGCTCAATATTCTATGGAATCCCATGGGATTTTCAATGCACTTAATCTCATTAAATCAATTTTTATAAAGGCACGTAATTCTTAAACACTTTTCTTAGAATTTCAAATAAATGCCATTCAGTGTCAAAATTTATTGAGTGCGAAGGGAGAAACCGGAAGTACATACACTATTTTCAAAACCGATTCGATAGGTGTAGTGGGATTTATGGTAAATTATTATTGTTATTTGAAATTAAGGGAAAAAATGTTTATTTCTCAATTTTAGTAATCTCCATTAAATCTAAGTAATTTAATAAGATGGGATGCATTCTATGATCCATACTTTTATGGTTCTTTAACTGCAGTGACACCAACAACCTAGTTTAATAAATATTTCACTTTTCTATTTAAAGTTGTGAACCTTCGATACTTATTATTGAAAAGATACTCATCTCAAATTATTGTAAACACATTGTATCCATAACGAAAATTTACACCCGTTTTAAAAAATATACATATGTAAATTACTTTCACTTCGCTGTAGTTTAGGGATCTGAATACAGATGGCAAGACTATTCGGCGACGGGGATATTCTAATATTATCAACAGGCAAAAATGTAGCCACACAAGTCAATCGTATCATCAGTTGCTCGTTTTATATTAGATATAATGGGCGATCTGGCTATAACTCGTCGATTTTTTCTAAATTATCATACTGGGATAACATATGGTTTATGATGGACCTCATCAGCATTATTTATAATTTAACTAAGGGCTAAGTGCCATTTTCATCAAATAGATGTTTGAATGCGAACATCCAACCCACCTAGATACTAGTGGCTATGTGCTGTACAACACAGATGTCGCTGACAATTCAACACGGGCATTACAGAAAGTCCACTTGGGATGAGTAATTAGTACCAGGGATCGCAACCGTAACCGAAATCGGAATCGAAAACCAATAAAAACCACCTCCGTAAAGTTAGCCAGGCAACTTCGACTTATCAAATTTCTGTACTTGCACATCGATTGTTAGTCATTTGTTATTGTTTGTTAGACTAATTAAAACATTTGTTAGATAATAGTTTTTTTGCAATAACGAAAATAAATTTTAGTGTTAAGTTAGCCGAAAAATATTGATTTTTTTACAGTTTTTGTTTCGAAACGGGTGCAATCGATGTGGAATCGTTTGTTAGTCCCAAATAAACTAATTAAAACATTTGTTAGATAACGATTTCGCTTAAAATAGCGATTAGTGTTAAGT